AAAAAAAAAAAAAAAAAAAAAAAAAAAAAAAACTCAAGGCAGCTACGCTTCGATGACGGTGGAATACCGTTGGGACGGCAATTCAAAGACGTGACAAGGCGCGCATATTTCTCTGTGCAGTTGGGACTTATAGTTGTTTTTTTTTTTTTTTTTTTTTTTTTTTTTTTTTTTTTTTTCCCTTTATTCACGTGCCTGTGCGTCAGGCACTTTGCCCTTCCCCCTTATTTGTATGCATGCGCATTTATGCATGTGAAGCTACTGCAATTATAGTTTTTTTTTTTTTTTTTTTTTTTTTTTTTCCCTTTATTCACGTGCCTGTGCGTCAGGCACTTTGCCCTTCCCCCTTATTTGTATGCATGCGCGTTTGGCTAAGTACACGCGTGTGAGGGGAGGTATTTGTCCTGTCGCCGCAAAGGTGCTATGCTTAGGAGGGGCGATATGGGGATATGTAGCCAAGTCAAGCTGGAAAGTGAGTCGCGCGCCGTCACACGATGAACAAGTTTACCGCATATGGTACACGTATGAACGCTGCTCGCGAAGAGTCGCTCTCTACATTGCAGAACAACGTGGGAAGGAGGGAAAAGAAAAAAAAAAAAAAAAAAGCCAAACAAAACAAAAACCCTTCTTTAACGGGGTGACACAGAGGTAGGAGGAAACACAGGGAACACGGCATGTAGGGAAAAAGCAAAGTGGCGAAAGAGGGAGAGAGAGCAAACTTGGGAAATGGCGTGGAGAAAAAAAAAAATGTGACATGGAAAAGAGATAATATATATGGAAGGCGGCGTGGTGAATAAATATAAATTTAGAAGAGAGTTTTTTATGGTGATTTATATGCGGACCGTAACTGCAACATGTTACGTGGTGGGAGATAAACGAAAAACAGTTGCGCGGTGACGGATCCCACTGTTCGAGCTTGCACAGCTGAGGGGAACAAACAACTTTGTATCGCCCCGCGTCGGGAAAAAAAAAAAAAAAAAAAAAAAAAAAAAAATGAGATAATATTATACATCATTATATATAGAGATATAAATGCAAGCAAATCTCCCCTTTGGAAAAAAAAAACTGAATTTACAATGACCACAAAAAAAAGGGGGGCCCCTGATGAACTTTTAAAAAATGGGCTTTAATTGTGATACCGCGCCGCTGTGCAACGTAGATCGAATTGCCCAATAGAGCCATCACTTTTTTAAAAAAAAAAAAAAAAATCCTATTGGAGATGGAACAGGTGGCGAAAGCTATTCCCCATTTCGCCAAACATGAGTGTTTGAATCGTGTGTTGCACATGCGCCCCCGTTCAGTAGGCAGTTCAAAATGAGAATTATTATTGTGAGCTCACCCCAACGGGAGAGAGAGAGCCGTGGCCCGTTCTCTTCACACACACACACACGTATAAATTGTTGTACATTTATTTTTGTATACATATATATATGTATGTATATATTTGGAGGTTCCTTGGTGACCCCACGGAAAGACGCAAATGGGGGAAGGAACAGCCAAAAATAGGCGGCCAAATTTGTAGCAATATATTGGCCCCAGCGTGGAGGGCTAGAAGAAACGATCAGTCAGGCCTTAGCCACCCCCCCCCTGCTCTGTCATTTTTTGGAGGCAGTTGGAGAAGAATTTCATCAACTGTTGCCAATCCATTTGAGTCGCCACACCATATGCAAACCCTAACCCGTTCTGAGACCCATGCTGGTGGGAAGCCCCTCTGCTCAATTGAGGCTCGCCAAAAGGCTTTTTTTTTTTACCAAGGCCATGAATTAACCATATGCGGCACGGTGATTCTCTCTCTCTCCCTCCAAAAAAAGGATTCACCATTTGTCAGTTTTGTTCGTTCAGGAAGAAACAGTTGTTAAAGGAGGTAGATCTGCATATGGCTACTGTGAAAGGGGGAAAGGGGAAAGAGGGACAGAACAGTTCTTTTTTTTTTTTTTTTGTTTTTTTTTTTCCTTTTCTGCTAAACTGTGCTGGCATATAATACAGGGCATACACTGGGCGTGAAATTTCTCTTCATTGGGGTTTTTGTTCCAACTTAGGTACTTTTTTTATTTGTATGTGGAGTGCACCCCTCTACACACGTGCATGCAATGCTACATCGGTGTGAACTTGTCCAAGGGCGGCTCGTTGTTGAGGATGGACCGTTTATTCGTTTATCTCCTCCTTCACCCATTTGAAAAAACCTGCTTCTTCGCTTTCATTGGGCAAGGACACCGCTTTCTCCTTTCGAGGGTGGCAAGACAGAAATAGAACAGGGGCTTCTTTTTTTTTTTTTTTTGTGGAGGGGGATGAGCCCAACCCCTGGGGTTTTGCACTAACCCGCACGGAGAAATAATCAGCGGCCTCCCCCCAAGGTTGCTACGTCGCAGTCATGTCGCCGCTTAGTCGCAACCGTGTAGCTTCCTAACTGATGGGGAAGACATGTGCATACACGAACGCAGCAGTTTTTCTTATGTTGGCTTCCCCCATGAACGTTCAAAAATTCTGTTCGCACTTGAAACCACTGATGGAGAAAACCAATCGCCAGTCTTCTCCCCCTTCGCTGACAAGAGGAATGAAATGATTATGACCTGGCCCAGCATGTATGAAAATGCAAGCCGAGCCAGTTTTACCACGTCATCCTGTCTCTTCATCACGATTTTATCCCCGTTTGCTTTGGGCTCACCTTTTTTTTTTTTTTTTTTACCAAGCGGGACACAGCACCCTGGAGTGAGTGTGTGTGTGTGAACAACGCCGTGGCGGAGACAACTTCTTCCCCCATAAAACACCCTCCCGAGAAGAACACGAAGAGATGGAGGAAAGCTTGTTCATAAATCTTGAAGGGAATAAAATCCTCCTGCAATTTATTAAAGAATATGAACAGAGGATGGAAGGAGAAAACTCCACCACTGTTGTTTTATCTGAGGAGTGTCAACAGGAGAGGCCCCAATTAAGGGGAGACGCAAATGAACAGAATGGATTTACGAAACCAATGGAGCATCACAGATCAAATGAGGGAAAAACAAAAGGAGGAAAAAAAAATTTGTTCATGTCTGAAAATGACAAACTGCACCTCCTGCAGTGTCTTGGCAGAGCCAGTTTCACCAAGGAAGGAACATTGGATGGTTGTAAAAAAAAAGAAAATGTTTTTCGCTACCATTCCTTTTGTATAAATGGCGGGGACAAGGTGGCCATGCAAAGGGGAAGTCATGCCTCGTCGCAGAAACTAAACACGGCCCGGGGGGGACCCAACAGGACGGCCAACAAGTGGCTCAGGTCGCAGCAGAAGAGCGTCAAGCTTGTGTCAAATAAAGCCTCACCGGAGAAGCTGCGGGAAGAGTTGCGGGAAACGCAAACATATGAAGAGGATAACACTGAGAAGCAATTACACCCGTCGCGCCCCCCCAGCACAAAAGACATAGCAGGACAACCACGTCGCTACTCACAACTCTACAAGAAAGACCAACACACACTAGCGTCCCCCAATGGTTCAGAAAAAAGAAAAAAAAACAGACAGGATATTCTTCATTTTCGTCAAAACAATAATTCCTCCCGGTCAGTACAAATCTCAAAAGGAAAAAAAAAAGAAAAAAATGATTTTAAAAATGATTATTCGATAGGCGTAACACCTGCTGCTGTACATGCAAAGAAGAGCTCTCCTAATTTGTGTCCCCCGGGTGGAAATCCTTCAAGGACTACAGCTGTGCACTCAGCTGAATGGGTAAAGAAGGAGGGCATGAAGAACACGATGAATCGAGCAAGAGAGGGACTCACTAGAGGGGCAGGGTTGAAACTTCGAAGGGGCCGTGCTCTCGTTGGTAAGGCAAACTTGGTTGGCGGCCACCTCAGCAGATGTGGTAGTTACACCCGAAGCGGACCTCATCGAGGTAAGAAGAACCCCACCAAATGGGAGGCACCAAGTGAGGGAGGGAAGGAACATCAGCTTTCTTCAGATGAACAAAATAAACACACGACTACGTCACACGTGGAGATGAATCATTCGTTTGAAAATTCCCTCATCCTGACTGTATCATCCACGTCACCCACGTCACGCACGCCACCCACTTCACGTGTGTTATCTCCTTCTTCCTCCTCCTCCTCCTCCACCTGCAATGTAATTTATTCTGTCTCTTCATACGACAAGGAGGGAACGAGAAAAAGTTCCACGGTTGTGAGGTGTGCAGGGGATGTCCGCAAGGGGGGACACACAAAGGGGAGGACACGTCATTGTACACTTGGCAGGGGAGAACCGGTGAAGGTGAATAAAAATATTTCTCGTTTTGTCCCTCCTTGTGAAATGAATACTCAGGAGGAGGAATTTTTCAGACGTGACAACAAAGGGGGGGAGACAAGAAGGCAGAACGAACCACTCGATCATGCGGGGCGGAGTGATGAGGACTTGCAGACTGTGAGAAGGAAAAAAGGAAAAGGAAAGTTCGAGGGGAAGAGGAAACAAAAGACCATCCCGAGTCATGGAATGGGTGACAAAATATACGCGAGTGAGAAAATCGACTCGGTGGAGGAAATGTGCCACATCGTTAGGTACAAAAAAACCCTCACCAAAATGAAGAAAAAAATTTTAAACAGGACAAAAAAAATTAGGGAGGTCCATCAGGGCAGGGTAGCAGAAGCAGAGGCATGGAGAGTGGCAGGAGGGCACCCCCGCAGAGGAGAGTTTGCGCAGTTTGTTAAGCGAGCCAAGAGAGTGCTCGAGGATCGCCAGGAACGATCAACCAGGGGGCAGGCACCTATGCCAGGTGGAAGAGATAAGACAAAGAGAACAGGCGATGCTGAGTCTTACCAACGCGAAGACACCTGCGAGCTATTCTTACGCACAAGCAAAAACGAAGCGCTGCTCAGAAGATACATGGACAGGAAAAAAAATCTTATGAACCACATGAAAACGTATATTTTGATTCACCAAAGGAAACACCAGAAAGAGTGTTCACATGAAAGGAGAGGAGCAAGCAAGGGGAAGGAGAAACATCACAGTGTGGTTGAAAAGGAGGTGGACTCAGAGGAGAGGAAGAAAAACGAAAGGATAGACCAACCGGGGGTGGAAGTGAAGGAAGGGGAGTGTTCTCACATGATTAATGCACCCCATGGAGAACACCTACAAATGGTTGTTACTCCAATGTTAAGCGAAACTGAGCAGAGGAGTCCCCACGGGTACCACCCCGAGAAGACAGACGCATTGGAAAAGCAGCCATGCGTGGAGGCACACGAAAATGAAAAAAATGAACAGGAAGGGAAATTGAAAAAAAGTGAAATGAACCTTGAACATGATAAGGGTCACGTTAAAAAAAGTATCTTAGGTAATGGTGCATTTGAAGAGAAGCTGGTTCATGCTGGACGGTTCTCTTGCGAACGAATGAAGGAGTTCCTCAACGGAAGCGACGTCACCACGAAGGAAGTTGTAACGACACATGGATGGAAGGGTGCCCATGGGAACAGCTCACTCTGCCCGTCCCATTTTAATACCCTAACAAAAGCAAAGCACAAAATTAATGCCATGAAGAGCGGCAAAATGTTCCTATGCTCCAGTGAGAACACGGGGCCACGTCAGGGGCACCTGCGCGAGGTTCGACTCAAAAACGGGACAGACGTGCGGCTTGCAACGAACCTTAAGACAGACCTATTGGACAACTGCGCGGCCCTTGTTGCCTTTGTGAGGAGCCAACTGAGGAGGGTAAATTCAGCAATCACGGGGAGACGCTTTGCCCTCGGGGGATGCTTCACCGAAACCACCCCTCCAACGAAATGCGCTACCACAAAAAGGGTAACCACACGTAACCAGCTGCGCAGTTTGAGGAGAAACGTCAAGGGGCATCTCGAGAAGCTGCGAAGAACGAAGATTGTATCATTCATCCTTTCGGTCCTCCGTGAAAAAAGCGATTCCTCGTGCACACCGACTTGTAGTGTAAAGCGTGTGGCGACGCCGCACATATGCGTTCAGCATGGTGAGACACCCTCAACTGCGTTGGGCAATTCCCGCCCTGATTTTTGCGTGGTGATTCTTTTTTCCATTGCGTTCCTGTCATTATGTGTACTCCCCCTTCCTCTGTGCAGGAAAAGCCCTGAACTGGATTACACCCTTTCCTGTGCCACACCCAGTCAGGTGTAGAGTCCCCACCAAAATATTCAGACGACGCAAAAGGGGGAAAAATGGAAGAACCTAATTGAGGGGTGGAGGGGGGGGGCACATTTGATACACTTCACCCATCGGGGTGACGCAAATATAGAAGCAATTTTCTCCCCCTTCTACTTGTGTCCACCCCAAAATAGGTAGTGTCACAGCAGAATGGAAAACATTTGAACCTTTTTTTTTTTTTTTTTTTCCTCACGAGGGATAAATGATCTGATGAGAAGGTTCCTAACAATGTGTCAAATTAATGCACCTTACATTGGGAGTAGGGGAAGGGGTCACCAAAAAAAAAAAAAAAAAAAAAAAGGGATGCATTTTTTCCCCTTCTTACACCCTGTCCGCCTCTCTACCCTTCCGTGCACCCCGCTACGACGGTGGCATGACTCCTTCGCCACTCTCACACCACCCGCGGTGAAAATGATTCACCATGCGAATGAAATAAACACAAAGGAGATCCAACCAGTCCTGCGATAATATCTTCTCACCAAATGGGACGCGCACCACCATATGAATTAACTTCTTCATGAGGGAAACTGCTAGGAGTACAGCTAAGCAGACACAGTACATGAGGCACAGAACGATCGATCTGTTCAAGAGGTACGTGTCAACTACCATAATTAAAATTACTAACAAGGAGACTACCCCGATCCACATTCTGTTCTGTTGTATCCAATCGCAGGACCTGTTCCCATTGCTCCACTTGTTCAGGTAAACTTTTTCCTCCTTTGGTGTTCCCTTCATAACCCGGTGGCACATTTCTACTCTCCTCCTCCACGCCACGAATAAAAATTTCTTTGTTCCCTCCTTGACCCCATAACGACGCCCCTTTTCCACAAGATCACTCACATGCGTAAACTTCCCCCTTCTATTGAATTGGCAGAACCGTTTCTTCACCCCCCAAGGGATCATCCCTCCGGTCTTGCCAACGCTAGACAATTGTCTCCACTCCCCTTGGTTAATAAAACCCCTCCTCGTTGCGCCTCCTACCTTTCCGTTTCCTTTTCTCTTCATCCCTAAAGGAGGTCGCCACATCAGGGGAGGAAATATTCTACTAGGATGGTTGCTCCGTTGGGGTGAAGACAGACTTGTGTTATATTCACCCCCTTGGTCAATGCTTCTCATCCGGGTGGCTGCCCATTCTTTAAGTTCATTTGGCGAGTGCCCCGTCGGCTGGTCTGCCACAAGTGTGCCGTCCCCAGTGACGTAAATCAAGTGTGTCTTTGTGTCCACGTAAAATTTTGTGAGTCCTGCGTAAGGGGAAGTGCACATCATGTGTGTGCGTGAGCGGGAGGGGGGGTGTATAAAAGGGCACTGCTCCTATTGGGACAGGGAAATGAAGAGAAAGGACGCATAACACGCTTTCCATTTTTTGAAGCTGTTCATTTGTGTTCTTTTTACTCTCGTGACTTGGGCAGATCTGCTTCAAAGGGGGATCTCTATGGAGAGTAAGTTGATCTCCTCCATCAGGATGTGAAACCTTCTTGTCCATCCTGTTCCACGGCAATGCAACCATCCTGTTCCACGGCAATGCACCCATCCTGTTCCACGGCAATGCAACCATCCTGTTCCATGGCAATGCAACCATCCTGTTCCATGGCAATGCACCCATCCTGTTCCATGGCAATGCACCCATCCTGTTCGTGTGAGGCGTACATGGGCAATGGTGGGTCACCCCACACAGGTAGACCCCAACGTGGGATAATCCATGTGATGCATTACATGTTGTGATGCTTCCATTAGTGTAACATGTTTCGTCGTCGAGGGGGTGCCCCGTAAAGAGGTCACCATGGCGGACGTAACTGTCGCAGAGGTAAGCATCGCGGAGGAGCCCACCGACTCGCTCTTCACTCCCCCCTTCCACGAATAAAAAAGCAGCACTGGAGTCCGCCCCCTCTCCACACACATCATCATGGCGCATTACACACAACTCATTTTCCCTTCTAAAGAAATGCACACAGAACGAGGAGATGAAGTCTTCCCATTCATGTGCGATGCGCTCCTGTCGCGAAATGAGGTCACATAAAATGAGTCTTGTCGTGGAGGACAGTCGGTACAGGCAATGTACAAGTGAACGGAGTACAGAACTACCAACGCACTTCACATTTACACCGCCCATTTCGTTTACAAATTCATCACATACAATAAAGAGTGAAAAAGTATGTGCCAATTTGTGAACGAGTCGCATATGGACAGCAGGTGCATCACCACTGAGGAGATGCGTTCCCTCCATGTGGTTAAACAAATTTTCAATTATTATTTGTTTCCATAGTGGGATGACAACTCGGTTGAAGAATCCCGCCTTCCGTGTCGCTTCCACTTCTACATGGAGGTACCTTTTTTTAAAAAATTTTTCACACTGGACAGCCTGACCAAAATAGAAGCTTCCCAACATGGCCTCCTCCCTGCCTCCCCCGTGTTTCATGCACAAGAGGGGGAGAGAGAGTAATTGAAGAGTGGACTCCACATGGACTAGTGCCATCCTTCCACACGTCCTATGTATATCCCGCAGGACTGGTGAAGCGTCTTTTCGTTTGGTATCCCTTCTGTCACTGGGCAGCATTCCCTTTTTCAAAGTTTCCCCCCCCTTGCTTGTTTCGTTCTCCCCTCCGACACATCCCACCACATTTTTCATTTCCTCACAAGGGAGAGGATTACCCCCCAGGTGGAGCATCCCCCCTGCATTGCGCTCCTCCTTTTCTTCCTTCACTTTGCATCGTATGTCATACGAACTTTTTTCCTGTCGTCCTTCCACATATATTTGTTCCATTGTCTGCACGGATGTACTTACCATATGGCGTGCTGCTTTTTTCATTTCACTTTCTTTTGTTGGTGAGGACTTGGGAAGGACCATTAGTTTGTCCACGGAGTCCTCATCAGGTTGGGGGGTGCATACCATGCGGTTCATTGCCTGTTCTTCCTCACCAGGGTTGTCCCTCTCCGATGCGCGTGTTGCATGTGGAAGGGGGCCTCCTTCACCCCTGTCACTATGGACACCACCCTGCGTCCCACTGGACGTGTCGCGGGGGATCTTTGGTATCAACTTGGTTGTGCTTGCCGTGGTATGCTTCTCCTGCGTCACCCCATGGCCATGCCTACCGCCAGCCAAGTAGGCTCCTTTCCGCCTGACCACCACCTCCAGTTCCTCTTTCCTTTTCGCAAGTAAAACTTTGTCCGCCTCGAGCAAATGCACCTTCGTCCTCAACCTATGCATAATACATTCATACCTTTTTAGCTTCTCCTTTTCCCTCTTCACATCCCCATAGCAAGCCTTAAGTCTTTCGTACTCTTCTGTACACTGCTCACTCATTTTTATTTCCTGCATGTACATTTGTACTTTTTTTTCCATCTCTTTGTTTAATTCTGTATTTTTTTTTTTATATTCGTGAAACTGTTTCTTCACATGACACAATTGTAAGAAGACCTGTTTCGACCTCAGCAGAGACAACCCCAGATGTGTATATGTTAAATAAAGAAGGGACGTGATGAGATGAAGGTTTTTTTTTATCACTTGATCATTTTTCATTTGACTAACTTTGTGCATGTGTTTATAAAATTTCTCGCACACTCTCTTCACATTTTCTTTTGCCAAGGCTTGTTCGACGTCGTCCATGTCGTATTCATTCTTCTCTTCCTCATCCTGCTGCTGCTGCTGCTGCTCTTCCTTCCGAGTGAATAGGACGGACTTCATGTCTTTTGCATGGTAACAACTCCTGTTGCATTTATTATGACCTTTGCGAGCGGGTCGATTATTTTTGTAGGGTACACCAAAACGATTCTCTTCATTTGAGTACCCACGTACGGGAAAATTTCTCTCTCCGTCTTCACTCTGTGCACCCTCTACACTGCCTTCACCCTCTACACTGCCTTCACCCCCTTCACTGCCTGCACTCCCTTCACTCCCCCCACTGGTAGGGTTATAATTCGAGGAAGGGTCTTCCCCCCCCTGTTGTTCCTTCCAACATATATTTTTACACATGGAGGGGCCTTTTTGGCCAGACCCCTTCAGGTACTTTATTTTTTTTTTTATATTTCTCCTTTTTCCTGCGTATGCATTTGTGGGTGGGTCCTCCTCCTCCTCGCACTCCTCGATCTCGTAGTATTCTGCGGGGGGTCCCGTGCGCCCGCCGCCAACTCGGTTGCACATCCTGTCACTGCCGTCGTCCCTTATGCGGGCAAACAAAAACACCAACAAGCAAACGAACTCTTTAACCACCGGGTGCAGGTTAATGCAGGTCTCTTGTGCCTCCCTCTTCACTTGTTCCGCGATGCAGGCGCAGCTCCTCTTCAATTGTATATTTGTGTGAAGGAACTCTGCCTCTTTCATGGGAGTCTGCCCCTGGCGGGCGCGACGCTCGGCTCTTCGGCTTCCATTGTGGTGAGCGTCGTGCTTCGAATTCTCATTTGCATTACACTTAGCGATACGATTAGGGGCGTGATTAGTGGTGTGATTAGCGGTATGATTAGGGGTGCGATTAGCGGTGAAATCGTGTGAGTCGTCTGAGGAGCCATCACCCGGGTGGGCACCACTCTGGTCGCCGCCCCCCACGTAACTGTCCTCATCGACGGGAGGCCTCAATTGGCGCCTCAACACGCGCGCACTCCCTAAGTCGGAAATGAAGTCATCGCTGCTGTCTTGCCTCTGCTCCAGTTCGTGCTCGTTCTCGTCTCCATTATCTTCCTCTTCCTCATCCGCGTGCGCACTTTGAATTGTATTTATGCCCAGCTGTGTGTGTTATGTAAAAGGGAAGTCATTATAGCGTGGTTTTTTCACGCATACGGTGGGGTGAATTTTTATGTCTATCCGCCCCCGATACACGTTTGCCTTTTTTTTTTTTTTTTTTTTTTTTTTTTTTTTTGCGCCTTCCCCCCTTACATCTATCAATCTCTGAACATTCCAGGGGCTGCCCCCGAGCTTGGCCTCAATGTTTTGTATGACGGATTTGTCGGCGATCCCTTTGCGAAAGGAAAGAGACAGACGAATTTTTTATTTTTTATTTTTTTTTATGTAATGGCTGCACGTTCGTGTGTGGGCAAGTACGCAGAGGGTAAAGCACCGACATCTCTGCGGTGCGCGCGGGCAGACGAGCCCCTGCGGCCAACCTGCACTCAACAGATCCTTCGCGTCAACCAATTCGGACCCTTTCTTGAAGAAGAGGAAGGCGGAGATGAGGATAAATTGGAGGAAGCGGACGAAGTGATCGAACTGAACGAAGTGAACGAAGTTCATGTGCGCACAAACGACACCGACTGCGACGGTTGCCACAGTTGCCCCATTTGTGCATCTTTCACAGGGTGTCTTTTTTTTTTTTTTTTTTTTTTTTTTTCGTTACTGCCAAGTTGGTTAGGAATAACTTCAGCTCGTGCACCACTTCAGGCATATTTTTCAAGTTGGTTCATTTGAATTTTTTTTTCTTTTTTTTTTTTTTAAGCACATTAGTTGATACGTAAGTTTATTAAGGGGGGGAAATAAAATGCCATCAGAAGGGGGAAGACATCGAATGGGACACATTCCTCCTCTTTTTTTAAAAGCAACACATGCAGTGATATGGGGGATACAAATCGTATGTCACAAACGATTATACGTCACGTTTAACAAAAAAAAAAAAAAAAAAAAAAAAAAAAAAAAAAAAC